AATTGAATGAATTAAGTATACCAAAGTGGACCCATAAAAAGCCGAGGCTTAACCATAATGAACACGAAGTTCGCTTAACTTCGAACGCGAGGTTCGACTGTATTGAGTACGAGACTCACTTAAGCACGAACGCGAGGTTCGTCTGAGAACGAACGCGAGGTTCGTTTGAAAAATGAACGCGAGGTTCAACTTGAGAACAAACGCGAGGTTCGTTAAAAAATGAACGTGAGGTTCAACTAAAGTTCGAACGCGAGGTTCGACTGAAGAACGAACGCGAGGTTCGACTGAAGCTTGAACGCGAGGTTCATCTGAAGCACGAACGCGAGGTTCGTCTGAAGCACGAACGCGAGGTTCGACTGAAGCACGAACGCGAGGTTTGACTAAAGCACGAACGCGAGGTTCGTCTGAAGCACGAACGCGAGGTTCGTTAAAATTAAGCTTGACGCTCACCTGAGTTGAGCGCGAGGCTCACATGAGAATGAACGCGAAGTTCGTTTAAATTGAGCTTAACGCTCACCTGAATTGAGCGCGAGGCTCACCTTAGAATGAACGCGAAGTTCGTTGAGCGCGAGGCTCACTTGATAACGAACGCGAAGTTCGTTTGAACGCGAAGTTCGGTTAAATTGAACGAACGCGAGGTTCGTTTGAAGCTTACCGCTTCGCCAAAATTTGAGGTAACCATCTCCTTAATGTTCGCCACGTTTCACGCACGCACGAACCCTTAGGGTTTCAAATTGAAACCGCCGCCGACAAACCCAAAAATCTTTGATTTTTATTTTCAAAACAGATCCAGAATTGGAAAAAATTGAAGAAAAATCAAAGAAAAATCCAAAAAATTCCAAAAAGTTATTGTTCACCGATGATTTTTCAGTTACTGTTCATCCGGAAAAACTTTACTGTTCATCCAAAAAAAAATTTCGTTACTGTTCATCCGAACATTACTGTTCATCCGAGAACAAAACTGAATCTTTAACCAGAGATTTAAGATCAAAAAACCCAATAAAACTTAAATCCCTAAGAATTAATCAATGTGGCTCTGATACCACTTGTTAGATCTAAACCAAAAACTTAAGATCTAAAACCATATAGCCATGAGAGATTAACAAGAATCTAAAAGAGCGGAAGCATATACCTGAATCCATAGAAGAAATCTTGATTTGAGTTTTTGATGATCTTCTAACCTTAGGGTTTCTCTAAATCCGAATTTCTCTAGCTAGATGGGGGTGTAGAGAATTAGAGAATGTAACCTTAGGTTAGGGACCATAACCCCTTATTTATAGATGTTGTACTTTTGTAATTTAACCCCTCAATAAATCACAATTATAACCTGGTATCTGCACATATAACCCCATGATTATATTTAAATACCCATTTGTAGGCATATAAAATTGCTTATAGGTCCCTTAGCGTTGACGAATCGCACGCAAACAACGGAATACATTCACTCGCGTGCGGAATCAAGCTAACGGGTTGAAGAGTCAATGAGTCATCCATCCAAGGGCGGACTCAGACGAATCGCGATCGAATCAAGATCAGTTTCGGACTCGAACTCAGAATCGGATTTACTACCTAATCAGGATCCGGATTTACTGCCAAATCAGGTCAACGAGTCAAGTCCGGATAAATCAACCACAGAACCGGATCACGGACTAAACCGAAAACGCAAAACCGGAAAACCACGCCTAAGGGGGCTCGGCCGAGGCCGAGCCACCTATAGGTGGCCGGCCCAGTTCTGTGCGTGGGCACAGTGAATAGAGGCTATAAATAGGAGAGGTGGTTCATTTGTTCACAGGTTAGAATTTTTGGAGGCGAAGCCTTGCTGGATTGAAGACTCAGATCTAAAAAGAGATTCAAACTTTAGGACTTCGAGGACTTGCTCATCCAGATCTGGTGCTCGGCGATCGTCAACGCCAAATAAGGCAAGAGTTCGAGAGGACCGGATCTCAGATCTACGCAGGCACACTCCGGATCAAAGCTTGGCCTTTGATCCCGAGATTTGGGCGATTGTTTCATTGGTGAACCAATCCCCCCCGGCTATTATTTCCTTTGCGAAATAATACCCGTCGTACTGCGTAGATCCGACCGGATCTAGATCGCGCGATGGTCCACGGATAAACCCCGACGCAGGCGAAGAACCCACAAAGCGAGCGACCGCAAAACAGGAGCTCGTGATTTGTTCGACAAACAAGGATAAAAAGTTGTAATCTTTCTTTTATTTTCTTTGATTTTCATTGTAACCGGATCTTATAAAAAGACCGGATCTTTGTAACTAAAAAAGTTGTTATTTAAAGATAGTAATGGAATCAATAATGAAGAAAGACACGATTTTCACCACGAACAATCTGACCATTAACTCAACTTAATTGATCACTTTAGTGGGTTATCCTTAAAGATAGCAATACACATTGATTAATCATGTGCCCACAAATAGATTTATTAGATTAAATCCAACAGTCTGATCCCCTTCTCTGTAGCCGCTCATGGCTTTTTATAGAGAAGAACGACCGTAACCAACTCCATAGAATGTGGGAAGTGGGCGTAACCACTCCCACAATTCAATCTTGAGTAGCTGACTTAGTCAATACATGCAGATTTAACCGCTTAGGCGAGCTAGGCGAGCGTGGATCATGCGGGCGAGCTTGACAAACAGACGAGGTTGGAACATACAGGTGAGCTTGACAAACATGCGAGGTTGGAACATGTAGGCGAACCTCATAAATTAAGCGTTCAGGCGAGCTTAACTAATGTTGGCTAGCTTGGATCGTGCAAGCGAACCTTTTGTAGGCGAGCTTAACTCGTGTAGGCGAAGCTAACTGTTCAGGCGAACTTGGCTTCACACAAGCCACTCTGGCGATGCCTAATCAGTTCAGGCGAAGCTAAGTTATAAGGCGAACTTAGCTATGTCGACGAAGTCGAGTTATTCAGGCGAACTTGGCTTCGTGTGTAGAATACAGGTGAACTAACTTTGTTCATGCAAGCCTAATCATTATAGGCGAACTTCCGCCTTGCAGGTGAACTTATTAGGGATAAAGGAAATTTTATTTGTCTACACGTCTTTCGAGTCGTCCTTGCAAGATGTCGCCGTGTCGAGTCGACCGAGTTGAGCCTCTAATTGTCTTGAGGTGTTGACTCGATTATGCATAATGTGAGATATTTGTCTGCTATTGATTAGATATTATTCTTCATCATTAAAACGGCTATAACAACTAGTATAAAGTTTAACTTTTAAATCTTATATTGTCTATGTTTTACAACAAGCTTTTAGACAAATTTAAATCCGTTCACTTTGACCGCAAACACATAACAATATATGATGAATCTTTGGTGTTAGTTCAAAATTGTTAAACATCAAATGAAATTTTATTATTTTACACCCTACTAAGCAGATATTATTTTCATTTAGATAATATATTAATAGACAAAATTGCGTCACAAATAAGAGTTGAGGGGGCCCCACCTAATCCTTTGTTAAATCCCAACCGTTCATCCAACCCAACAACCTTATCAAATATTTGAGGGGGGGGGGGCATCTTCAATCTATGCAAGAGTTGAGGTGGGTCCCAAATGAAATATGTGCAACTCACAGCAAAACCCCCGTCGCCACCCTCCTAAATCTAGCCGTCGCACACTACCATCAAATCCAAGCCCTCCACCCTTAGCCAACAATCTTATCGCTACCACTTCCGACCACTATTCAAAGATATTGTTCGTCCGCGCACAGCACTGTTCATCCATCGTCTGACATACCTTGTGATTGATACAACAAAAAACTAGTTTGTTTGGTTTAGATTTTGGACATTGGTTTGGTGGAGATCTTTCCGTTGGTTTGCTTTGATGTTTGGTTTAGTAAAAATTATTCTGTTGATTCGTTTTGGAGAAAATCGTTCTCAGTTCAATTGGTGGATTCTTAAAGAAGGATCATTTATTGTTGGATCCTTTAGGACTTGTTTGGATTGAGGGGAATAAGGGTGAAGGGAAGTTAGGAGAACTATTCACCTCTATTCACCTTGTTTGGGAACATTTAGGAGGTGAAGTTATTCACCCTAGTTCCCCTTGGTTCACCCTCTAATAGTATAAAATTTGTTACCCCCCAAATTGGGGTGTAACCAAGGGGAAGGGAACTCTCTTCCCTTCCCTTCCATTCTCTCACCTAGTTTCCCTTAACTTCCCTTCACCCCCTACAAATCCAAACAGGCTCTTAAGAAATAACAATTTGTTTATTAGATCCCTAAAGAATGATCATTTGTTGCTGGATCCTTAAAAAGGATTAGATCCCTGAGAAAATCATTTGTTTAGTGGTTGTTGATGGATCGCTGAAGATGATCATTTATTTTGTGGATCCCAGAGATGATCGTCTGTTGATGGATCCCTAAAAATGATTATTTGATTGGCGGAGCCTTCTAGTGGATCGGTTAATTTGAAGACATCCAAGTGAAAGATAAGAAGATCAAAACTATTTTGAATTTTTAAAGTCTCGTCACTGATTAGAATATGTGCACTTTATTTGTAACAAGTTGAACGTATATAAAAGGGGGTGTAGAGAGTTGTTTCTTTGTGTATGTCTAGTCTTACATTGGCTAGAGTTAAAACTCTTTATATTTATAATATTATAAATAACATCTAAGAGAGGGTGCTAAGTATTATCTCCGATTACCATTTTCAACAAAAGCAATCAAACAAGTAAGAAAAACAAATCCTACAAACTCAGACAATTTAAGGGTGGTCGTCGGTCGAGTAACTTTAACTAACAAATTATGGTATGGGCCCAGCCTAAAACGCCCAGAGAAAGAGGGGCGTTCCCGTAATTACCTCCCCAATGCTCAACTTTTCATGAGTTTTGTCCAAAATTCTTTTGCTATCAACCGCAGCGTCACATCATATCATCGCACCTCTTAATCACTTCCACCAACATCAAACCCAAAATAATTAATTAATTAGTTAAAATAATAAACAATTTTAAATAAAAATATAAAAAAGATGGAAACTGTCCCTCTCCTTCCCTTTCCTTGGAAATACCCACGTCAAACGAGCTTAACGAATGAGAGGGGAAAAATAATCCAATTCTTTTCCTTTCCCTTTGTTTCATAATTATGAGCTTTTAGCTAGACGAAAGGCATTATTTTGAAGGGAAGGCTTCAATTCCAGCGACTTCTCCTCTCATTTTCAATGTTCTTGTAAGAAATTTAATCTTTTTGGTTCTTCTTGCAACCTCTTACGTTGTTTTGTTATAAAGCATTGGTCTTATCTTAGGTAGATATATTGTTGTACATAAAAGACACCCATTTCAAATTGCCACCTTTTGTATTTATAATTGTTCTCAAAATCGAAACTTTCTCCATAATTTCAATCTGTTGGTCTTTGAAAAGGCTACCCTTTTTGCTCATTTGCTGCGTATGAACCTCTACCCCCAATCCCCATTAACAAAACCCAGCTCAAATCCCAAGCATTTTCTTCTAATGTAAAAAAAAAAGACCCATCTTTGATCATTCCGTGCACCCAAAATGTCACCTTTCCTCATCTTGTTCATAGTTCATGCCCTTTTCCTTTGAATCCATCTCTTCATCCTTCGAGAAAATCACCACAAACTTGAACAACAAAATGTTTGGACCACTAACTCATAGGGGGGTCTCGTATGAGTTCTTGGGCCAAACAGACCATTGTAACAATTCCCCCACAATTTCAAGAAAACCCCCTTTCAATAATCCCTTGACTGTAAAATTCCAAGACCTTTATGGGTTCAATGTAGAAGGCAATGTGGATGATGTCAATGTGATGAATGAGGTTAGAGAGAGGGTGAAGAAGCAAGGGAGGGTTTGGTGGTCTCTTGAGGCGAACAAGGGCGCAAATTGGTATTTGCAGCCTATGATTTCTTCTAATGGAGAAGGAATTAGAGTTGCTTCGTTGAAATTATCGGTATTGACGAATACTATTACGCTTAAGAGGCTTGTCAGAAAGGGAATTCCTCCGACGTTAAGGCCGAAGATTTGGTTGTCGGTTTCCGGTGCAGCCAAGAAGAGGTCGACAGTGCCTGAGAGTTACTATAATGATCTTGTTTTAGCTACCGAAGGGAAGGTCACGCCTGCAACTCTGCAGATTGATCATGTGAGTTTTTTTTTTTTTTTTTTTTCAATTCTTTGATGTCTAATTGAATTGCTTGATTTCTTCTTTGTGTTTGGGTGCTATTGGTAGGATAATTTACTTGGTGTTTGTGTAGAGGCTTTATTTTTGTTCGACATGTGTATGTTTGAATGCAATAGCTGATGTTATTTGTTACAAGAAGTTTCGCTGGTATAATTTTATTCATTTTGGTATAGTTCTTTGATGTCTAATTGGATGCAATAACTAGATGTTATTTGAATACAATAACTAGATGTGAATTGGTCGAATTTTATCCATAAAAGGGTTGGGTTATTCAATCAAACGAGTAATTTTTATCAGAATTGAGAAATTATATAGCTTGAATTCTTAATATCCTTTTATTTATCGCATATGTCTACTGTTAACTAGGAATGTGGGGGTCATAGAGGGGTTGTTTGCATTGTTGAATCTTTTGTATCCTTTTAACAGCGCAATCTTCATGGGGGCATTGGATAGGCATCTCTGGTCCTTTTTATTCAGGAGTAGAGGACTCATTTGCACCGTTGAAGTGTCAATTGATTGCAAGACAAGTTATATACATAGAGGCGTCTTCTCATGCGCCATTGGGAGTTGAATCTGTGTTTCCTTGCGAGGCATTCCATAGAGTAATCATTGAGAAAGTTCTCATGGATAATAGAAAGAATAGGTTGATGCGTATTATAATGCGCAACTGATACATGACCGAGGATATAATTTGGTATGTTTGACAACATTACTGAGATTGATAACATCCTTTATCTAGAAGCATCACTCACAGACTAGTTCTTCAAAATCTAATAGGTGTAATCAAGAAAGGTCCTTACGCAAATTTGACGTGAGTTGATAAACTAGAATTAGCTTCTATGAAGGAATCTTGGAAGTCCACTCTGATCTCGGAATTTCCCCTTGATTATAAACAAAAAAGGAGGTTCTGCGACAATGAATATCATCTTCATGTTATTCATACAGATCAATCGAAGTGTTTGATAAGTTGTACATTCCACCATCATGTTCGTCTTTAAGTAATTACAATATATACAGCTACGTCCCTAGATGTTGATCTTATTGCAAGACACCTACTATGAAGAAATCATCCCAATTTATTAATAGAATGGAAATGAAAATTGCACATTTGAAACTAAAGGACATTTATGCTTCTAACGAGCATGGTTAGTTTTCCACTGTTTCTTTGGATCCAAGAATGAGCTATTATCAGTCCATTCATCAATCCCAACTTCAATTAGGTGATGTGCATCATCTAACTGAAAGGATTTTTTTTGGGGGCGTGGTGGTCTTTTTTGGGGGGAGGGTGTTTGAATTAAAACATAAAATAAAGGGTTAATTGCACATAGACCTCGTTTAGTTTGCTATTTTGCACTATCCCTATAGTTTCATTGTTGCAGATACACCGCTGGGGTCATTATTATAATTTTTTTCTACTCTTTCATGCTTGGTGAAATTTTGGCTATTATTTCCCCCAAGTAAGAAACTATAATAAGTTCCAAACAACGATACTATAAGGGATCTATGTGCACCTAACCTAGGATAAAAGTGTGTATTATTTTTGCTTATCCTAATCTTCTGTTGGTACTCGAAATATTTATAGGATATTCCTCGTACATTCCCGTGTCACCCTTGGTTGGATAGCCCAGAAGGCCAGGCAGCACTTCGCCGAGTTCTTGTTGGATACTCATTTCGGGACTCAAATGTTGGTTACTGTCAGGTAACAAATATCTACTGTTGGCCTTTCTCAATACTTCTCGAAACGGGTAGCAGTTAACACAAAAAAAAAACTCAGGGTTTAAATTATGTGGCCGCTCTATTGCTGCTAGTGATGAAAACGGAGGAGGATGCATTTTGGATGCTTGCTGTCCTCTTGGAGGACGTTTTGGTGAGTGATTGTTACACTGATAATCTTTCTGGTTGCCACGTCGAGCAAAGAGTGTTCAAAGATTTGCTTGCCAAAAAATGTCCGAGGTAAACAAATTGGTTGGTGGTTTTCCCCCCTTCTTCCCTTTATGAGTAGCTTTTACGCAATTTTCACTTATGGATAGAAAGTGCAGGATTGCAGCTCATTTGGAAGCTATGGAGTTTGATGTTGCTCTTGTAGCCACGGAGTGGTTCTTGTGCCTCTTCTGTAAGAGTTTGCCTTCAGAGGTTAGACTAAAATTTGAAAGTCTTCTCCTTTCATAAGTTTCTTTTAAGTTCATAGCACAAGTTACAGAGTTCATTGCACATTTTAATTGACTCTATTATAGTATCAGAAATAAATGATACTTCAGTTCTGAAATTGGATTATATATTAGTTCTTGTTTTACTCCTATATGAAGTTACTTCATGACCAAATCCTTTTTTGTTTTTGTTTTCAGACTGCCATGCGTGTTTGGGATGTTTTATTCAATGAGGGAGCTAAGGTCCTTTTTCATGTTGCTTTAGCAATCTTTAAGGTATGCTAATGATTAACTGAGCAAAAAATTAACTCTTTTCATTGGTAATATTTGTCATTTTATTCCTTACTTGATTGAGATTATTGTACCCGACTAATCTCATCTTTGAACGTAGAAATTGGTTAAAAGACCAAAGTTTTTTTAAGGCACTTTTTGCGCCAAAACTTTAATTTGTGAGATTTGACTGCAGATGCAGGAAGAGGAGCTGCTAGAAGCCCAACAAATTGGCGACGTGATTGACATCTTGCAAACATCCACCCATCATCTCTATGATCCCGATGAATTGTTGACAGTAAGAATCTCTTTACCAGATGACTTAGCCTCTTTAAAAATCAACACTTGAATCTCAATAAAATTCAACAGTGGTATTAAGTCATCACTCATGATAACTTTAACAAGTTGCAAGTAATAGTAATTTATATTGTGTCTGAATATAAAAGCATAACCTTAAACTCTCACTGCAAATTCAGAGCTTTGGTGTAATGGTAGGGTCTTTGAGATGGTATGAAGCAAGCTAGGTCTGAATCATACTGACCATGAAATTAAAAGCGAATTTGAAAAAATTTGATATCACTGCATGAGACTAGGTTTCGGCCCATAAAAAAAGGGCGAACAACTTACGGGGCATGTTAGATAGGGATGGGAAACGACTGAATTGAATCAAATATCACCGAATTCAATTCAGTTGAAAGTTTAATATTCGAATTCGAATTCGTGCCGAATATCAGAATGCTATTCATGTTTGAATTTGTTTATATATGCCCTAGTTGGGATTTGGGAAATGTTTATAAATATTTGGTAGCTCACTTGGTCGGGGGCTTTGGCTCAGAACTGCAGGTCTCTAGTGCATATATACGCTTCAGATTGTGTGTATTTGTAAATATGCCTTCCAAAGCATCACATTTGTTGATTTGCCCACTATATTTTCTTTTCCATTCAAGTTTATGCCTCAATTTAAACTAATTAAAAAATTAGAAAATGTCTAATCTTCCATTTAATAAATGTAAAATATAAACGAATATTTAATGACCAAGCGAATCAAATATAGATTTAGTTAAATTCTATTCGTTTATGAATTGAATACTAAAAGTTATCTGTTTACGATTAATGAGGTGTCAAATCGAATATGACCGAATAGCTAGACAAATAACAAACGAAGTGTTTGTTAGTTATTTGGTTCACTACCACCCCTAATGTTAGAGTATAAAACTATAAACCTCAAGTCTCAGAATGAGAGTTTTGGTGTAGTGACAGTGTTTGACATATAGCACTGTAGTTCTAGTGACATCAAGGTGAAAACAATTCACCCGACTAGAATCCAGCTTGTCGATCATCCATTGTATATGTCCATATTAGCACAAAACATGCACACATGAATAGGGACAGATAAAACGTGTTAGATTATTTTCTTTACTTCTTTCCCCTTTAGCCATTCAAAGCTCATTTGTTGGGTGACTAACTTTGAGGAACTTGAACTTTCTTGTGAGTCAGGTTGCATTCGAGAAGATTGGTTCAATGACAACCAACACGATAACCAAGGAGAGGAAAAAGCAGGAACCAGCAGTCATGGCCCAGCTTGATCAGAGACTGAAACGACTGAACTCGTTGAAATCAAGGGAACAAACTCAGTAACAGTCAAGATGGAGATCAGAGTGAGAGTTTCAGAAAGAAAAAAGAAACTTAAACTGTGGTTGATGCCTTTGTTCAGCTGCATCCCGGTGGAGAACGAC